GCCTCTTGGCTGGGTGGAGAGAGTGTGCTAAATAAACGGGGGGCGTAGATCAGGGTAGGGAGGAGGTACAGCTTTTTGGAGCGAAGAAGTGGAAGAAGGGAGCTGTGGAGGAAAAGGAAAATGGGGAGGTGCTCAAACCCTTTCAGGTGCGAGTCCGTAGGGTGGCAGAGGTCAGAGCATCCCTCCACCCGGGACGGCAGCTCGACCCGCCGCGTGCCCGGGGGCTGATGGCTGCTCCTGATCCTTTGGGCACCTCCAGCCTGTTTGTACGGAGCTGTGCTGTGGGTTTCCACGGGACACACGAACTCATGTCCATCCTTCCACCGGGCATCGGGGGGGCTGTGCTGGTGAGGCATATTATTTGGAGCAGGGTGCATGCTGCTGCTGGTCCCTGAGGCTGCTGGGCCATCGAGGAGCTGGGGGGTGGGAGCTTTGTTTTGCAGCTGATGATAAAACCGATGACTTTATCAAAAGCAAAACTCAGGCTTACAGAGACCCTAGCGAGGTGATTCTTGCACCTTCGCGGGGGAAATTTTAATTGCACGGGAAATGTCACCAAAAGCATCTCACCCTACTGTGAGTGATTAAAGTGATTTTTTTCTAGGGATAGTGAGTGATAAAAGTGTTTTTTTCTAGGGAGGGGAGTGGGCAAGAGGGGAGACCATGAGCCAAACCGCCCCCCAAAAATCAGTGTGTGCTTAATGATGCAGGTATTAGGTGTGAGCGCTGAATGCTAAAATAAGGGATGCATCCAGGGCTCTCCATCCTAGACCCCACCGGCACTGGGAGGGTGTTCATCCCTGCAGTGAAGGGCTCGGCCGGGGAGGCAGTTTTGTGAGTGGCCATGGGCTTGTTTCAGCATATTTGGGCTGCAGGAACTGGGAGTGAGAGGGATGGGGGTGAGCAGGATTTGGCCCTTGGCAAGGGCGGGCAAAATTTTTTTTTTTTTTTTTTTTTTTTTTTTTTTTTATTCTGTTTGAGAACCTAGGAATGGGGTCATAGTTATGGCTAAGGTCATGGACTGGACAAGCCAAGGAGTTAGATTTATCTGAGATCCTGTAAAGTTCATGATCTTATGAATGGAGGTTTACTCCTTAGTGAGTTGGGAATTCTTAATACAAACAGCAGATATTGAAGAGCCAGTTTCAGTATTTGGTCCTGCAAATGATACCAGTCTAGAATGAAGGTTTCAGAAAGAAAAAAGGCCTTTGAAATTTTCTTGTTCTGGATGCTGATTAGGGCTTAGACCTTGGGCTGTGGGAAGTTGAAATAAAAACATCAGGTTTATGCATTCAGAAGGGCTCTGGGTGAGGAACAAAGGAGTTTCTGGAAAGGAAACAGTTCATATTTTAATCTAGTCCATAGAGGAGCTTCTAGTGAAGTTGATAATAAGGATTTTGAGTACAGGAACTTAACAACTCTGTTCTTGAGACCACCTCCTACCAGGCCCACCACTGGAAGGAAGAAGGCTGGTTCCAGAAGACAAAAACTTTGGCTTCGGTAATCCCGGCTCATATCCCAAAATTCGTTCGGATGAGGGGAAATAGGCTGCTTTTTTTTTTTTTTCTTTTAAATTGATATGTATTTAAATAACCGGAGTCCAAATATTTTAAGAGCACTAAAGGAGACCTTAATAAAACGCATCGGTACGGAGAGATTATCGCTAGCATTGGAAAACCACACGCACACACGCACGCTCCCATTCACGGCTTTTCGTGGAATATAGTTGAGAAATCCGCCAGTTTAAAAATCCCGAATAAAAGTCTAAAATATTCCCAGGTCAGAGGGGCACCGTCTCATTAAAACCAGCGCGGTCCTGAAACTGCACTGCAGACATTAAAGTGCAGTATTTTTCAATTAGAGCTGACGAATTCAATCAAAATTCCATAGATTAGGATGAAATGAGGCATGGGTCATTTACAGGGGAATTTAATTGCAGAGCCATTAGACAAATAGTATATTTGCCATTCTCACATTATCCATCATTTTAGACATCAATAGAAGGAACAGCATCTTTACTAATACAGCAGCACTTCCCAATCTCTGCCTGTAAACACTCCCTTTCCCCATAGCTCCTGATTATATCTGATTTCATTTAAAGCCATGGGGGATTATAAATGTTCATGCAATCAGGTTCATTAGGACTTCAAAAATCTCATTTCTGATTTGTATTGCTTTGCGGATCACCCGCCTCAGCGCAGCCTGCGCGATGCCTCGCTCGGCTTTAAAAAAAAAAAAAAAAAAAAAAAAAAATCAAATGCTATTTCATTACCGGGGCCACTTCGGGGCTTGATTATCAGCCTGATGAGCCCCTTTTCAGCCATCAAGCAGGTTGTGGGGAGCGAGCCCGGCTTCCCACCGGGACCCCCACCCCAGCACCCCCTCCATCCCCGCAGCCGCCCCGGGGGGGCC